GGGGGGGGGGGGGGGGGGGGGCGGCACAGAAATTGTTTCACAGTTCACAACAAAATACAGCACCTACAGGCATCTTTAAGTGAAATTTGTCCCACAAACGGGACCAAGAAACATGAGAAAATTTACAGACACACAGAAGCATTCATTACAGCATGTGCTCTGGGTTCAGGTTATGGCTTGAATTCCTGCACAGTGACTTAATTACATGATCTTACGCCAGATTCTCAGAGTTGATGTAGGTAGGCATGATAGTTTCCTAACGTGTGTAATGATCTGAGACAAGATTCATAAAGCACCTAACCTTGTGCCTGGCTCTGGTACATAACAAAAGTACCCAATAAAATCCAAGTGTAATAATGGTAATAGCTGCTATTATAAAATAGAATGTGTGTTAGAATAGTCTAAATCTACGTCAGGTTTTCAATTTTAGAATTCCAGAGAATCACAAAAAAATTTTAGGTACATCTTAGAAATATTTTATGCTTAAAGGCTCTATATCCTATCACTATTATAATCAGCCTCGTACCTAGTCTCAGATGAAAATAGATTTGTAATATCCCATGTCTGACTTAAAGGAAGAACATAAAACTAAACTGCTTATCTTGTCAAAAAAGATTTGGGGGGATAATGTCTCTGCAACAATATCACACAACTTTTTACTTCATAACCAGTCCACTCCTTAAATTATAAGTAACAGCCTCAGAAATTGCTTGCCAAAATGAGGTATAGAGTAGGTCTGAGCCGCTCCACCCACCCCCTTTCTCCTACACCCAACCATGTCAACTGAACGATCTCCCCTTTTCTACTTCTAAACAAACTAGGGAAGCTAATCTTGAATAGTGAGGAGTCACGCAAAAGTGGTATTTATCAGAACCAATCACCATACGCTATTATCAGGCTGGGAATCTTCCGTGCCCCCTTCTGAGGTGGCACCTTGAAAATCAGCTGGGTTGGTCGTGTGTGTCCAGCACGTAACACGAAGCACCAATACAAGCCACAGAGAGGAAAGCCAAGAATCCACTTATTTTAATTCTACAGTGGGGTTAAATTATGCATTAAGGCAAGTAAAATTTCCACCCTTACTAGTTTTCTTTAACAAACTGGTTAAAATGTTCTAAGTGGTTTGTAAAGAAATTACAGATTTTCTACTTTTAAAGTAATTTATAGAATTCAGGACAGTTTTCTTAACATTCTATGCTTAAAACTTCGCAACTACCAATTTCAGTTTACCAATATAAAATTGATCGGGTGGTACCCAAAAGTTCACGGGTTTAAATGTGATAGAGGCAAATATTTGATGGGGGGGGGCTGGTTGACTATCAAGCGCTGCCTTCAAGTGGCTGCGATCTGCCTTGGATTCGACTCCACAGTAATTCGTATTTTTAATCTAATGTTTGTTACGCCTGAGATACGTGAGATGTCACTGTCTCCTAACAAATTTTATTTTAAAAATATATAGGGAATGAAATTCTTAAGCCTTACCCTCACTTAAAATGTTCAAAGAAGAAAGCTTCTGAAAGCGAGTGCTGGGGCGAGCTGCTTCCCCCGGGTTTCTGGCTCTTCGGGGTCCTCGCAGCGCCTCCAGGTCCCCCGCTCCGCCCGGGAGTCCCAGCTCCTCAAACCCACACCCAGCCCGGGACACAGGAGGTCGCCGCAGACCCAGGTACCCAGGAAC